CTGAACAATTAATCAAATGGCCACCCGGACCATTTACATTGACCCCCCCCCCCACCCCTTTGTTTTTACACTGCTGCTACTTGCTGTTTATTATCTATGCATAGTCACTTTACCCCTAACTACATGTACAAATTACCTCGACTAACCTGTACCCCCGCACATTGACTCGGTACCGGTACCCCCTGTATATAGCCTTGTTATTGTTATTCTATTGTGTTACTTTTTATTTAATTTTTTACTTTAGTTTATCTGGTAAATATTTTCTTAACTCTATTTCTTGAACTGCATTGTTGGGTAAGGGCTTGTAAGCATTTCACGGTAAGGTCTACACCTGTTGTATTCGGCGCATGTGACAAATACAATTTGATTTGATTTGAACGACAATGGAGCTTTTAGTTTAGGTATGAGCAGAGAGCCACCACAATACTGTATTAAAAGATAATTCATGTTTGTTATTTTCTGTTTATACATTGTTAAACTAGAGCAAAGAGTCTGTAAACTACGTAAAGGTAGAACTCAAATCAAAATGAAATTAAATCAACGTTTATTGGTTGAGTACACAGATTTGCAGATGTTATCGCAGGTGCAGCGAAATGCTATTTTCTAGCTAGTAGTATGTACACCTTGATATCAATGAGGTTGATATAACATCACTGAGCTCATATCAGCCAAATATACCGGTATCATCAATCTTTTCAGGCAATGGCCAATCAATGTTTTAAGATTTGCATCAGCTAGACAACATCCCATGTTAGAAACCTATTCTTCGGCTATTTGTAGTCTGGTTTAGAACCCTTTTACCTTACCATTTTACCTTACCATTTTACCTTACCCTTTGACATCCCTGAGCCTGCTACTGTGATGTATCCCATGTGATCTATCCATTATTGTATTTTTTTACATTTAATTATAATCATTTTGCAGATGCTCTTATCCAGAGCAACTTACAGTATTGAGTCCATACATTTTTGTATTTGTTCGTACTGGTCCCCCATGGGAATCAAACCCACAACACTGACATTGTGCGTGTCATGCTCTATCAACTGAGCCACATGGGACTGGGGCCGGACAGGTGCTGTCTTCTTGTCCTAGCGTCAGTCTCCATCAAAGACTCCACCACCATCTTGTCTGAACCACCTGACTTGCTCTTGTGCCTCCCTCTCTCCATCCCTCTCACCTGCTGTGGAGACAAGCCAGTGAGTAATCCTTCTGATTCCTCTCCCAGATGCACCTGTGTCTGTCTGTGTTCAGGCGAAGCAGCAGGATACTCTGCACAGTGCACACGCTTCCATATCAAAGAACCAAAGCCCCCTCAGAGAAGGCTACTCCTACCTAAGTCCTCTGTCTTGGGCTGGACACTGAGCCCGTGCACACCAGGATTCCCTGTAATCAACAATGTGCAGATAATTTGAACTATTGCCCTCGCCTAGATCTGCAACAACTTCATTGGAGATGTTGAGCATGAGAAATAGCACTAATGTGATGCCTGACTGCACACGCTGCTGCAAAAATATGGAGATTACGTGAGATAAAATTGTGCAAATCTCGTACAGTACATCTTAGTGGCTCGTATCCTTTTCTGCACTTCTGTACATTCTAGTTTGATCATTGAAAAGGTGTATACATTAGAAACATCCTGCTCACCCAGATGGTGTTTATGGTATTAATAGATGTTTTCCTCAGCCGGTGTGCCTTAGGGATGCGTGAGGATTATGCAAAGGTTTACTGCGGTGTCAAACTTGTCAAGACTATGAGGTCCATTTGTGCTTCAAACAGCCCACCCCAGGGTATTCCATATGATGGGGAAAGGAATGTGGGTGTTGATGAATGGAGTTCACAGATTGAGTATGACGGTTGGAATACAAACAATCCTCAGATGAATTACCTCACTGAAGACTGATGGCATGGCTGAGTCAACATGTAACAGCAACATAATGTGTCTGGAATGGTGGGCCAGCCCCAATTATTACATTTTACATTTGTACATTTTAGTCATTTAGCAGACAGAACAGGAACAATTAGGGTTAAGTGCCTTGCTCAAGGGCACATCGAAATATTTTTCACCTAGTTGGACCAGCAACCTTTTGGTTACTGGCCCAACGCTCTTAACCGCTAGGCTACCTGCCGCCTAGTTTCCACCACTGTATTTGGTTAGGAACACAACCATTCCATGTAGGTGTGTCTTATTAGATCGTAGAAAGCCATGATCATTTTACATGTTAATTTTCATGAATAATAGCTTGATATACCATATATTTTCAGGTGGTTCTGTTAGTTGTTTCAACAAAATTATGGAGAAACACAACATTCTCCAAGATACAGTGACCGCCCTGTAAGTAATAACCCTGTATCTGCAGAGAAGGATAGTGTTTCCCTCTCATCCATCAATAACGATGGCCAATTATGTAGTTAATTAGTTCTAATACCAGCAGTCATGTCTATCAGAGCATGGAGTATGTCTTTCCCTTAGCTCCTGCACCGCTGTAGCTGTCAAATGCAGCATGGGAAATTACAGCACACCGGCCCTGGTCTGTGTAGTAGAACAGATCATCACTGTTTGATTCCCCCAACTACTTATGCAGAGGTGGATCAAACGCCATGTGACATTCTGCATTCGTCTATGGTCTACTTTTGTAGTTACACACACTTCTAATCAATTTTGCACAGTAGGAGGGTGTGTAGCTACAGTGTACAGCGCAGTCTGAAAGAAAAATGATAGAAATTCTTCATATTTTTTCAGCCAGACAGGATTCAGGAGCAACAGCAGCTAGTCTTGTGAGAGAGAGGGATGTAAAGTGACAGGTGCTGTAAAGCACTATACATTTCTAAATTCCCCTAGGTAAACAAACTCAGAAACCGTGACTATTTTAAGTTCTGTTCAATGCAGAAGTGAATTTCTATAGGATTTATAAAACCTTGACTTTATCAAGCAAAACATTTGTTTTGGCTTAAGATTTGTAACTCTACATTAATTATTTAACAGAAGGCCTATTAAAAGAATGGATACTTTTCTACTGATTGGAGCTTATGAATACCACCACTAGAGCTATAGTATGGCAGCGAAGCTGGATCTCAAGTCTAAATGGAATTGTGCAAGATGAAAAAGAGCAAAAGTACATTCTTTCCTACAATAATTATGTTCACTTCCTAAATGTCAGTATCTTGAACGCTAATTAAGATTAGCATTAGCATTGGTTGTTAAGTCCAAATCACACAGTCTGCATTCACGTTTAATGGAGACAGGGTACAGTAGCTGACTGTTATGGGGGCTTCATTCTACAATCTTCAGTAGGACGGATGGACATACTGAAATAAAAACATAGGTATGCCTTTTACATGTAGCTACAGTATTTGTTTTGTTTCTCCTCGATATTGAATGATAACACGCCAACATCCAATCCATTACAACTATCATGTAGCCTGTATGTAAATGCTATACTGGAACAGCTGTATGTATTTTTAATGGCCAAATAAATACAATCATTAAGTCATGAAGGAGTATATAGCATCAGATAACACTGAGATACGGGATGTATTTGAATATGTTCACTGGGATTTTCCTTTTATCATTGGCTCTGTTGATCCGACAACTTTAAAGCAAAACAGTTCATTGGGTGGGTTTCCTTTTTCCTTTGTGTGTAAAAGGTAAAAGGAACTGGACGTAAGTAATCAAATTTGTGGTGGTGGCCGCAGAGATGCTATTTACCTTCCATAGCCTTTAAACACCCTTCTCTGATAGAATGCAATTATATAGTAATGCATTATTCATCATTTCACCACCACTATGGCAACATAATGATTATCTTTGTTGGGGTCACAGTTGTTCTCAAAGAAATAATGCATTACAAAGGAATATCCCCTAATTACCTTGCTGTGAATAAGTGGCACTATAGGAATGTTTGCAATGCAGCATTTATTGTACATGTATTATTGTAGGTGGGTATGGAATGGTCTTATGGACTGTATTCTCATATTCAAAGAAGTGATAGATGTGGGAGTCACACATTATCATTTCAATATAATATATAAGACATGGTGTGAGTAAATGGATGAGCTCTGACTTGATGATCATTATCCCTGTTTTATGTGTATCATAAGAAAGTTAAACATTGATTAATATTGTATTGTAAAAATAGCCCTGTAATTCAAGTGAGTTACCCCTCATCACCTGTTATTATGAAGACATTAAGGAACGGTTTATTGTTCCTTTATTTACAGAGCCGGGCTCTCGTGGGAATAGATCAAGTCTGAGTGGGAAACGAGACCCTTTCACAGCTGATTTATAAATCCCAGGGCAGAAATAAAAAGCTGTACACCAAAGCATTTGGATCCAATTATCATCCATAGAATTGTGTTGTTTCCCAATTAAAAGTTGATCTGCTCCTGTGATGTAGTTTCTCTCTTGTTGGGGAGCTGTACATACATTTCTATTGGTTAACTATAGAAAAAGTTGAAAGACCTTGGAAGGTTACTGTTGTACTTCAAGACTGGGGTCAGCAAGCACAATGAGAAGACCAGGGCCCGTATTCATAAAGCGTCTCAGAGTAGGAGTGCTGATCTAGAATCAGTTTAGCCTTTTAGATCATAATGAATACGATCATATGGACAGAGAGGACCTGATCAAAGATCAGTTGCTTTATGAATACTGACCCAGATACTTACCACAACGGTACTAAGGAGAGTCCTATGGGACCAGACACATTACACAACATGACACAAGACTTGCATATAAATTAACTTATCTGAAATCACTGCACTTTATTTATCAATAAAAATATACACTTGGGAAAATCGTTTTATTTTTATACCAACTTCATGATTTTTTTCTGTTTATTTGTTTTTCTCAAAAATAATTAATACTTTCCTCCACTCCACTTGACAGAGACCAGTGTTAAATGACAGTCAATTCCACAACAAAACGGAACATGTTGTACAACTCAAATAGCTTTGTATCATTCGGTTAACAAACCGGTTAGAAGAGGAGAGATGTTTTTACATTAGGGGGTTATGGTCTGTTCTGTCTCAGAGAGTTCTGTCCCAAACAGTCTGGCCTGCATGTGGCCCTCCAGCTCCCAGTCCTCCAGGTCACTGTAGCTGGGTTCAGGGGGCAGGACCTGGGCCAGCCCCAGAGAGCTGACCGACCCTGTGGCAGAGCCGCAGCCCTCATACGCGTACGTCTGGAGGGAGTCATAGGGCGGCCCGCTGGTGTCTTTGTCAGCGTCCACCACTCTCTGTCTGATGACGTGGTGCATGTCCTCTGTATCCAGCAGCACGAGGGACGGGCTCCGGGGCCCGCAGGCCACCAGCCACCCCTCCGTCCCAGACCTTACCTCCCGCCGCAGCCTCCTCTGTTCTGCCCCGGCGGGGTTCCGCAGCGCTGCAATGTCAAATGCCTCCGTGTCCTCCTCGCCCCCGCCCTCGTCGTCGTAGGTGACCACGTTCTCCCGGATGTCCTCCTCAGAGATGATCAACGGCTCCTTCTTGCCCTTTTTGCTCCGCAGGAGGACAAATAGCACCACGATGGCTACAGTACAGGACATGTCAGAGGAGAGGGGACAAGACCACAGCCAGTGGTGCAAAGTAATTAAGTAAAAATACTTTAAAGTTCTACTTAAGTAGTTTTTTCGGGTATTTGTACTTTACTTTACTATTCATATTTGTGCCAACTTTTACATCACTACATTCCTAAAGAAAATAATGTACTTTTTTCCCCATACATTTCCCTGACACCCAAAAGTACACGTTACATTTTGACAGGAAAATGGTCCAATTCACACACTCATCAAGAGAACATCCCTGGTCATCCCTACTGCCTCTGATCTGGTAGACTCACTAAACACAAATGCTTCGTTTGTAAATTATGTCTGAGTGATGGAATGTTCCCCTGGGTATTTGTGCTGTCTGGTTTGCTTAAAATAAGGAATTTGAAATGGTTTATACTTTTACTTTTACTTTTGATACTTAAGTATATTTAAAACCAAATACTTTTAGACTTTTACTCAAGTACTTGAGTCATTTTCTTTTAAGGTATCTTTACTTTTACTCAAGTATGACAATTGAGTACTTTTTCCACCACTGACCACAGCGACTTACAATATGTCATTACACTACACCAGTCTAAAGGTTCAAAACACACACCTGATTCTCTGATGGCAATGACCTGCAAAGTGATTTGAGGGTGGACTTGTGGCCTTTTACTGCTGGAAACAAATCAGCCAGAGGTACTCCTCCAGCTTTCCCTCCCTCCCTCTCTTTCTCTCTCCCCCTTCTCTCCCAACTTCTCTCCTCCACGTGGCCACTACCTCCCCCCTCCTTCCACTTCACTTGTCTCTTACCCAGCAGGATGATGATGCAGAGCAGAATGGCGATAAAGGCCCCGGTGCTCAGGCCTGCTGTGGAGAGGAAGGCTGGGACTTGGCAGGCCCTCACCCTGTTGCTGCTGCTACTGCTGCCACCTCCTCTCTGGCAGACACACACCCGGAGGGTCAGGGTGGAGGTGCTGCTCAGGACGGGCTCCCCTCCATCCCTGACAACCACAGGAAGCTGGTAGAGATCCTGCTCCGCCTGGCTGAACTGACGCCTCCGTGCCACGATGCTGGCAGTGTTGTCTGGAGTGGAATGACAAGAGGTTGAAAATACACTGGATGTATTATGTTGACAAAAAGCCACTATAAGACTTGATACAGACATTACCCAAAATGCAGTGTATTTTTCCATTAAAGCCAAAGCACAACACAAACGGAGCACACATTTTCTTTAGATTTATTAAAGAAATTGGGTAATATGACACATTCCTATTCCACACTGAGTATACAAAACATTAAGAACATATGCTCTTTCCATGACATAGAATATATGTCAATTCAGGTGAAAGCTATGATCCCTTATTGATTTCACTTGTTAAATCCACTTCAATCAGTGTAGATGAAGGGGAGGAGACAGGTTAAAGAAGGATTTTTAAGTTTTAAGACAATTGAGACATGGATTGTGTATGTGTGCCATTCAGAGAGTGAGTGGGTAAGACAAAAAAAATGTAAGTGCCTTTGAACAGGGTATGGTAGTAGGTACCAGGCACACCGGTTTGTGTCAAGAACTCAACAGTTTCCTGTGTGTATCCAGCCATCTTTTTGACACAACTGTGGGAAGCATTGTCAACATGGGTCAGCATCCTTGTGGAACGCTTTCGACACCTTGTAGAGTTCATGCCCTGACAAATTGAGGCTGTTCTGAGGGCAAAAGGGGGTGCAACTCAATATTAGGAGGTGTTCCTAATGTTTGGTATACTCAGTGTATATTATATAAATGTTTATTTATTTAGGTTATCCTTTGATATCCTTTCCCAAAATATAAAGAACTGGCCCTGACCTGTTTTTACCCCTGAAATCACATAGGCAACCACAGAGAACAGAAGAACACAGAAAAACAGCACAACCTTTCCCTGAGGTATGAGGAGTGTTCTCCAACATTGCAGAGGATGCCCATTGTTCTCCACTTATTCCTGCTGCTATCTATAAGAAAGGACTGGGAACAGATAGCGAGTGCCTCTTCAGGCTTTATTAACACTTGCCAAAAGTACTCTATCCAGGCCAGCACAGCTGCTGCGACAGCATTTCTCATTCTGAAGAGGCTCCAGCAGATTTTCAATTTTCACGACCCAGAGCCACGCATTTGTATGCACAATCACGGCCCACATTTTCACAATGCAGATTCATTTTCCCCCAGGAGCACAGAGCCATGATAAAGCATGTCACTTGGGATGGTAAGAGACAGGGGAAGAGAGGTGGGGGGAGGAGGAGGAGGGGTGGTGGTGGGGGGGGGGGGGGGGGGGGGGGGGTGTTCAACCCTTGCATCCTTCTGGATATCAACAAATGTATTCCAACAGAGCGAGCCCATGGGAAGGTGCTTAGGAGGAAGCATTCATTTACATAGGATTCCTATTGGCATGCAGGGGCCCTGGCCCACTGGCTTCAAGTCAAAATTCATTACTTTATCTCTTTGCCCACTGCAAGGAAACAGGTAAACAAGAAAGAGACAATATCTTTCATTCATCCTCCACTTGGGAGACAATAGAATATAAAGCCACCTCCAAGATTCTTTCTTCCTCTAAATTATTATGATTACAGCAGAGGAAATCAGAGATTATTATCTATCTCTTTAACACATCCTCACTGGAGAGTAAGCTGCTGTATGTCTGTAAGAATCTACTGCATTCACAAGGAATTTCTGGCTAAATAAATAATGTCTATCAGCTGGTGAACAGCAGGAAATCATCCAGATTGTCCCACAGCACACTGACTGAGAACATATGGCCTTTCCATGACATAGACTGACCAGGTAAATCCAGGTGAAAGCTATGATCCCTTATCGATGTCTCTTGTTAAATCCACATCAATCAGTGTAGATGAAAGGGAGGAAACAGGTTAAATAAGTATTTTTATGCCTTGAGACTGTTGAGACATGGATTGGGAATGTTTGCCATTCAGAGGGTACATTGGCAAGACAAAATATTTAAGTGCCTTTGAATGGGGTATGGTAGTAGGTGCCAGGTGCACCGGTTTGTGTCAAGAACTGCAATCCTGCTGGGTTTTTCACGCTCAACAGTTTCCCGTGTCTATCAAGAATGGTCCACCACCCAAAGGACATCCAGCCAACTTGACACAACTGTGGGAAGCATTGGAGTCAGCATCCTTGTGGAACACTTTCGACACCTTGTAGAGTCCATGCCCCGTCAAATTGAGGCTGTTCTGAGGGCAAAGATTCCACACAGCCAGAGGGAGCTAATGTATCCTACTTCCACCCAATCAGTGCACTGAAGCAGCAGTGTTCATTTTAGCTCTATCTGAGGAGTACTACCTGGTCCTCCTGTATGTGTAAACATAGGCCTCATGACACATCAGTGGAAATGTGGTTTCACTGAACAAGCGCCTGAGGGAAAATAGAGCCAGTTGGGAAGGAGATAAAAGCCAAGTACTAGGCTACACCACCACCAAGAGCACAGAGCACTGATACAAAACTCAGTGGAAGCTCACTTCCTCTGTCTGGCATCATACTGATTGCTGTGATCCATCTTGGAAGTCTACCTTGATCTTGAGATTCTCCCTGATCTGCCAAAGGAGCAATTGGGTTTTCAGACAAGGAAAAAAAGAACATAACAGTGTTCTCTCTGAATTCAGCCAAGGAGCCTTAAGCTAAAAAGAAAAAAAACAATGGCTGTTACCAAGGAAACACCACTGCAGGTCCTTCCATTTGATATTAAAACGTCTCCAGGGAGGAGAAAGTGTAAATGGTGCTAACTGTTTGACAACAAACACCACTAGATATGATTGTGTTAGTAATGACGCTCCAGAGTATCTGCCACAAATATCTGTCCCAACACATATCCCTTGTGGCGATTCAACAAAATGCTGTGTACATTTTTAAATCACCACAGAAAACCACAGTAACCAGCCTACCTTCATTATCCTTCAGGGTGAAGTTAGGATTGACTGGAACACCAGTTGGCAGAGCAAAGGAGAACCGTCCATTTGCAAAGTTGTCCATGTCTGATGGCTTCACTGTCTGGATCAACTGTCAGAGAAGAGGGAGAGGAGTGAGAGGACGAGAGGGAGAGGAATACGGGGGTGAGAAACGTTTTACGTCACATGTATGTTTATACAGTCTACAGTACATATGTATTAGGAGCTACATATAATGGGAATAAGTAAAGAAAGTCACTGACAATTATTATTATTGTATTATAGGTACATGTGTTTTTCCTCCCTCCCTTTCCATGAGGACATGTGCCAGTATTTCACATGCAGTCTTGTTCCAGGCAGAAGTGTATATCAGAGGTGGGGGATATGGCCTGACTCCAAGAGCACTGTTCCTGATATAATGTCAGCTCAATGAAGGAAGTTGACTTCTACCGGCAGATGACCTGAGAGTTAGAAATTCTCATATGGATAGTACACCAATTATAGTGTCTTCTAACCTGGCTACCTACACACTCTACTGTGCTATAGCATTGTCAGTCTATGAGAAGCATTCCTGAACTTGTGGTAGCATACAGTAATCCTCCCTAACAAAACATGTACAACTAGTTCTAAACAAAATTATAATTTATTTCCTTTCGATGAACATAACAGCATAATTTACTATGAATCAAGCCAAATTCCCTGAAAGTTACTTGAAGTTACTGTAATTTGTTGCAGTGTTTGAAAAAGCCCCTCGACATTTCATCTTAGCATGCATCATCTGTTGCCTTTAGCCAGCTCACTGATTATATGCTGCAGTCTGTCTAGTAATCTTAATTCAATGGGGAAAATATGAAGAGAGACTGCTATTGCGATATGAATCTGAGCAGTCGTGCTTTGCTGCACATGGGCCAAATTTGAATGAGCGATGATAAACATTTTCTGCAATCCGGCTCTGTTGCGCTTAATGCAGCTCCTATCTGCTTGTGGAGACATTGGTACATGCTGAATAATTTATAGGTTCAAGAGGCTGCAAAGGTCTGCAGCACCACAGATAAATCCATTCCTGATGGTGTCAAACACACAATAAAGGCAGAGAGGGTTTGTGTGTATATGTGTGTGTGTGTCTGTGCGAGAATGTGTGTGAGTGTATGCATGTGTGTGCTTGATAAGAGGTTTTAAAAGACAACATAGTTGAATAAGGAGAATATGAGCTAATGGGAGAGAAGGTGGGAGAGAGAGGGAATGAAGTGGAAAAGAGCAGGAAAGAGGGAGGGAGGTGAAAGTGAAAGATACTCACCTGTCCTGCCCTGGAGCTTTCACACACAATGATTTCATTGTCTCTTGCTATGTAGGGAGCATTGTCATTTACATCCAACACCTGGATTGTTACAGGAACATGGCTGACGAGACTGGGATTGTCTGAAAATAACAAACAAACAAAGATCAACATGCATAAAACCATGGAATTAAATATAACACTTTTATATTGTATCTCTATGCAAAACACTAAAACACTAAACACATATTTTAACCCCCTATGTAAATTACTACCTTAATTTTTGCTGGGGTCCAGCAAAAATAAAAATAAACAAATGTAAAAATAAATAAAAAATGTCCCAAGCAATGGCATGGCATTTTCAAGACATTGTTATAGGCCTATACAGTGGGGGGGAAAAAGTATTTAGTCAGCCACCAATTGTGCAAGTTCTCCCACTTAAAAAGATGAGAGAGGCCTGTAATTTTCACCATAGGTACACGTCAACTATGACAGACAAATTTAGAAGAAAAAAATGCAGAAAATCACATTGTAGGATTTTTAATGAATTTATTTGCAAATGATGGTGGAAAATAAGTATTTGGTCACCTACAAACAAGCAAGATTTCTGGCTCTCACAGACCTGTAACTTCTTCTTTAAGAGGCTCCTCTGTCCTCCACTCGTTACCTGTATTAATGGCACCTGTTTGAACTTGTTATCAGTATAAAAGACACCTGTCCACAACCTCAAACAGTCACACTCCAAACTCCACTATGGCCAAGACCAAAGAGCTGTCAAAGGACACCCGGAACAAAATTGTAGACCTGCACCAGGCTGGGAAGACTGAATCTGCAATAGGTAAGCAGCTTGGTTTGAAGAGATCAACTGTGGGAGCAATTATTTGGAAATGGAAGACATACAAGACCACTGATAATCTCCCTCGATCTGGGGCTCCACGCAAGATCTCACCCCGTGGGGTCAAAATGATCACAAGAACGGTGAGCAAAAATCCCAGAACCACACGGGGGGACCTAGTGAATGACCTGCAGAGAGCTGGGACCAAAGTAACAAAGCCTACCATCAGTAACACACTACGCCGCCAGGGACTCAAATCCTGCAGTGCCAGACGTGTCCCCCTGCTTAAGCCAGTACATGTCCAGGCCCGTCTGAAGTTTGCTAGAGTGCATTTGGATGATCCAGAAGAGGATTGGGAGAATGTCATATGGTCAGATGAAACCAAAATATAACTTTTTGGTAAAAACTCAACTCGTCGTGTTTGGAGGACAAAGAATGCTGAGTTGCATCCAAAGAACACCATACCCCCTACTGTGAAGCATGGGGGTGGAAACATCATGCTTTGGGTCTGTTTTTCTGCAAATGGACCAGGACGACTGATCCGTGTAAAGGAAAGAATGAATGGGGCCATGTATCGTGAGATTTTGAGTGAAAACCTCCTTCCATCAGCAAGGGCATTGAAGATGAAACGTGGCTGGGTCTTTCAGCATGACAATGATCCCAAACACACCGCCCAGGCAACGAAGGAGTGGCTTCGTAAGAAGCATTTCAAGGTCCTGGAGTGGCCTAGCCAGTCTCCAGATCTCAACCCCATAGAAAATCTTTGGAGGGAGTTGAAAGTCCGTGTTGCCCAGCGACAGCCCCAAAACATCACTGCTCTAGAGGAGATCTGCATGGAGGAATGGGCCAAAATACCAGCAACAGTGTGTGAAAACCTTGTGAAGACTTACAGAAAACGTTTGACCTGTGTCATTGCCAACAAAGGGTATATAACAAAGTATTGAGAAACTTTTGTTATTGACCAAATACTTATTTTCCACCATAATTTGCAAATAAATTCATTAAAAATCCTACAATGTGATTTTCTGGAGAAAAAAATTCTCATTTTGTCTGTCATAGTTGACGTGTACCTATGATGAAAATTACAGGCCTCTCTCATCTTTTTAAGTGGGAGAACTTGCACAATTGGTGGCTGACTAAATACTTTTTTCCCCCACTGTATATTTTTCTGTCCAGGGTTCATGCCTTGCACTTATAGTGCATGTTATGTACTCTACATCCTTTTTTTCTCAGAGCATCTCTCCATCAATTAAGGTCACATCCCCACTGAGCCTTCCCTCATTTGCATATCTTGTGTTTGTCTGTCTCCTGAGGTTGGCCATGTTGCCAGGTGAAGTGTAAATTCCCTTCGAAAGGTGACCCGGTCACTCAACTAAACTCCTGCTGCCTGGCAGCACATTTCACTCCCTGAGGCTCCACAGAGAAATCATGTTCCTATTAAACGTGGGATACATAAATCATATTTTCCCATTTCACGCATCCATAAATTACAGCCACAACGACCACCAACCAACATCTAGAGTCGGGACAGGAGACGTACTAACCCCAAGCTACAGCAGTAGGCAGAATGGAACAGAAACATGCTGTGTGGTTGCACAGTAGTTTGTCTCACTTAATATACATATAGCTAGCACACAGGACATTACAAGTGACACTTTGCTAATATACACTATGCACTATATGTATAGTGTTTATGTAAGTCATGAATCCCTCATTAACATACACCAGTCTCCGGAAAGGTGCGGACTGGTTTTCCCATTAATTAAGGTGACGTAACACAATCAGCGCAGCGTTAGCTGACATTTATCGATGGCTAGTTCAGTCCATTAGCTGAACACTATTATGCAGAAAAGGGTAAAGGAAAGAGTAATTGCTTAGATAAGCATCAGTGGAGAAAGAGAGGGAGAAGAAGAATTGATTGACTCGACCACCTTCAGCATCACACTATGATGTTACACACGCAGCCCCGCATCAATCCCACAAGGCACTGCTGGCTGTTTATTTTCAAGAGCCATGTGTTTAATGTTGATACATATGATTAAAGTGACATCGTTAATGTATTCATGCAGTGTCATGAGCATATATTATCCTCCATGTTGAAAGTCATAATAAAGTCATCATTATTTAAAAGCAAAATGATAATAAGGTAAGATGATTCCTAGATAAGGATCCTCCGCTGTGTCAGATGTTACTTACCAACCTCTGATGCCATCACAGTGATGTTGTGCCAGGCCACATCCTCTCTGTCCAGACTCCGGGTGGTCTTAATCCCCCCGTTATTCACACCAATGGTGAAATACACTTGCTCCTCTTCACTGTGGTCTATAAAATACCTACATGTAGGAGAGGGAACAACTAAAATAGAATGAATAAAATAAAGTTTGAATTGAATTGAATTGAAAATGAAATGATGCTGTTTAATCTATCATTCAAAAAACCATCTGACTTTCAACATGGAAAGGTAGAAGCTTTGAATCTTGTGATGGCGTTTTGGAGTCCAACAAAATGGCCGCCCCTTGCATATCCCATACCTTACAGGGCTTTTGGTACTGTCAGGGTCCTGAGCCGTCACTGTGCCGACCTCTGTTCCCACAGGGGAGTTCTCGTACACGTCCATGATGTAATAGTCCATGGAGAAGACAGGTGGCTCGTCTACGTCTCCGATGATGATCCGGAGAGTGGTGGTATCTTTGAAGGGGCCCAGGTGGGAGAAGCGTGGGTCCAGGTGAGTGTTCACTCCCTCTATGTGAAGCGTGTGGACTTTCCTCTTCTCATAGTTCAAAGGCTGCGGAGGAAACCGACAATCAATCCCTTTTCAAAGCCTTGCTTTTCTTTACAGTCCTGCTTCCATTGGTATTTGAGAGAACAGCCTATGTGGTAACAATGAGTACTTACTCATAGTATTAACACAATTAGCGCTAGTGTGGCCTAATGGTACGTAATGGTACTACTTCTTTTAATTCATCCCAAATAAATAAAAAGCATATTTATTAGGTAATTATTATGTATACAGTAATTACCATATTACCTTGTGGTTTCTCAGTAAACACCAAGAGAACTGTAACATAAAGCACAACCACAGATGGTTTTATTTTCACTGGAAAATGAATGTGTGCATCTCAACAGTACCTGTCTTAGTGATATGATGCCTTCCTTCTGGTCAGTGTCTGCAGTGATGGAGAACATGGCCTTCCCCTCTGCATTGGTTATGCTGTACCTAATCTCTGCATTGACACCCAAATCTTCATCAGTGGCTTTGATTTTACCCACAGCTTTTCCAATCTGAGCAGACTCTGGAACGTACAGCTGGTAGTTTTCTGTAATGGGATGAGCACATGAATAAGCAATAAGTTATTATCTTGGCATGAATGATATAGCATTTATGACAAGATGGAGGAGTAATTAGCCTACTGTTCATGCATACCAGCTAGATGTAGATGTGAATAAATGGGTCAATTAATCACATTTCCTGTCTGCTTGCAATTCAACAATCATCTGCACACTACATCATACATCATGTTTGTATCACTTACAGCCACCCCTGCATTAACAAACATCTACTATAAAGCTACAACTTGGGGAGTTTTATTTAAAAGTAACATTTGGCTGTGCAGTACACAGAAATAGAATCACTGATTCTAAGATTCAATTTCTATGGTGCATTACTTACAGTACAAACATCTTAGTGTTTTAAAACCTATATAGTGTTCGATATAGTGCTGTTTAAATCCTATGTTTTATTACAGTAGAGAATCAATATGTAAGGACAAATATTGAGGTAGAAAAACGAACAAACAGACGTCTGTGTACATACTCTGGGGGAATTTGGGAGGATTGTCGTTGACGTCTGTCAGAGTGACATTGACGGTGGTGGAGCCTGACAACCCACCCACCGAGCCGGCCATGTCTTTGGCTTGGACCACCACAGAGTAGCGCTCCCTGGCCTCTCTGTCCATGTTGGATAGGGCTGTCCTGATGACACCTGGATGGCAAGACAAGAAGGCTCTTTATATCACACTAATATCCATAAATGTCTGTTAGGAGAGATACTGTATGTATTGACAATAGACAATCAGAGAGATTCCTCCTCCATAGCATCAATCCAATGTTGGATGAGTTAGAGATGCCGGTCACTTTTATTCACAGTACTGTATGTCACAAATGTGATAAGGATGAAGGCAGGAAAAGACCGCCTGACTTGTTGTACAGGAGGAGGAACATTGATTTCCTCAAATTGGGTTTCACGTACTTCACCTTAGGAAATCAATTATAAACGGTTGACAAATTCAGCCAGAATTACAACCAGCTTTAATACCGTGTTCGCCAAACCCCCTCATGTCTTCATCATCATACTTTCACACCTACGGTGCATTCGGAAAGTAATCAGACTCTTTGAATTTTTCCACATTTTATTAGGTTACAGCCTTATTCTAAAATTGATTAAATAGTTTTCTACACACAATACCCCATAATGACGAAGCAAAAACTGGTTTTTAGACATTTTTGCAAATGTATTTGAAATACAAAAACAGAAATAACACATTTACATAAGTATTCAGACCCTTTACTCAGTACTTTGTTGACGCACCTTTGCCAGCGATTACAGCCTCGAGCGTTCTTGGGTATGACGCTACAAGCTTGGCTCACCTGTATTTGGGGAGTTTCTCCTATTCTTCTCTGCAGATCTTCTCAAGCTCTGTCAGGTTGGATGGGGAGTGTTGCTGCACAGCTATTTTCAGCTCTCTCCAGAGATGTTCAATCGGGTTCAAGTCCAGGCTCTGGCTGGGCCACTCAAGGACATTCAGAGACTTGTCCCAAAGCCACTCCTGCTTTGTCTTGGCTGTGTGCTTAGGGTCGTTGTCCTGTTGGAAGGTGAACCATCACCCGAGTCTGAGGTCCTGAGCGCTCTGGAGCAGGTTTTCATCAAGGATCTCTCTGTACTTGGCTCTGTTCATCTTTCCCTCGATCCTGACTAGTTTCCCAGTCCCTGCCGCTGAAAAACATCCCCACAGCATGATGCTGCCACCACCATGCTTCACTGTAGGGATGGTGCCAGGTTTCCTCCAGACGTGACGCTTGGCATTCAGGCCAAAGAGTTCTATCTTTGTTTCATCAGACCAGAGAATCTTGTTTCTCATGGTCTGAGAGTCCTTTAGGTGCCTTTTTAGCAAATTCCAAGCAGGCTGTCATGTGCCTTTTGCTGAGGAGTGGGTTCCGTCTGGCCACTCTACCATAAAGGCCTGATTGGTGGAGTGCTGCAGAGATGTTTGTCCTTCTGGAATGTACTCCCATCTCCACCCTATTTCAGGGATCATCAACTAGATTTTTTTCTTGAACGGATGGTCGGGGGGCCGGAATAGACATGATCGGCAGGTAGCCTAGCGGTTAAGAGCGTTGGGCCAGTAACTGGTCACTGGTTTGAATCCCCGAGCCGACTAGGTGAAAAAGCTGTAGATGTGCCCGTGAGCAAGGCACTTAACCCTAATTGCGCATAATAAGTCGCTCTGAATAAGAGCTCCTGCTAAATGATTAAAATGTAAACATAATTACAAATAATTTGTAGACTACAAATTGAGCACAAGAAGCCCAAACAGATATAATGTTTGACTACAACATAATCATTTCAAACCTTGCTTGCATTGGTATAACGATCATGTGTCTCTCTACATTTTACATTTTAGTCATTTAGCAGATGCTCTTATCCAGAGCGACTTACAGTTAGTGAGTGCATACATTTTTCATACATACTCTACTATGCTTGGGAACAGATTTCTTAAATTAAAATCGCTTGCAGCTGATTTCCTGGTGTTTTTACAGTCTATTATGTCCAACAATGTCCAAAAAACATTTTTTTCATTTTTTTTTTTATAAGACTTGTTGGGGAACCCTGCGCTATTTGATATGCTAACACATAAGTAAGCTTGCCTTGCCTTGCCCCTCTCTGAACTTCAGCACGCCACCCCCCTCCTTCTCTCCTCCCTCCTCTCCTCTCAGCTTGACCCACACCTAAACACTGTGCTCTGGCCAGAGGCTCTGCTATGCTGCATTACTCGCTTCACAGCGTTACAAAGGAGAGTGCCATCTGCCCTAATCTTACCCTGAAGACTGAACAAGGGCTAGCAGGAAAACAGAACAGATTGACCATACTGTACATCATACACCTGTACGAGAGGGAGGCCACAGGGAAAACAGTCAGGGCATAGCTCACTCAGTACTGTAAGCAAGATGTCCTTGGTGGAACATCGGCTAAACGGTGGCACACAGGGTCTGACATGCCACAGTTAACTCTGTGTGGTGTCACACGGTGGGGGTTCAGGGGTTAACTGGTTCTCCTGGAACACTCAGGTTTTTGTCAGTTATCGGGATCACATGGGTCACAAAGATTGCAGTAAGACGACTCGTCTCAAAGAAGGTCATTCCAAAGCTTTTGAGATGGGGTAACATTAGGTGAAAGTACAGTGACATTCAATAAACAAACATAGCCTATGTTCAACCAACGAGCAGGATATGTATCCTCAGAACATTGGGTTTAAAGGAGAATGAGTTTTAGAGCATTTGCGTGAAACGGCTCCACTCCAAAGACTGTATGGATGAAGACTCCTTAGAATTTATTTTATAGTCCTACACATATTGTAGTGGTTTCATCAGTCTGCTTTTTACCTTATGTAACCTCCCTTTTTCTTATACAATGCTCAAAAAAATTAAGGGAACACTAAAATAACACATCCTAGATCTGAATGAATGAAATAATCTTATTAAATACTTTTTTTCTTTACATAGCTGAATGTGCTGACAACAAAATCACACAAATATGATCAATGGAAATCAAATGTATCAACCCATGGAGGTCTGGATTTGGAGTCACCCTCAAAATTAAAGTGGAAAACCACACTACAGGCTGATCCAACTTTGATGTAATGTCCTTAAAACAAGTCAAAATGAGGCTCAGTAGTGTGTGTGGCCTCCACGTGCCTGTATGACCTCCCTACAACGCCTGGGCATGCTCCTGATGAGGTGGCGGATGGTCTCCTGAGGGATCTCCTCCAGACCTGGACTAAAGCATCCGCCAACTCCTGGACAGTCTGTGGTGCAACGTGGCGTTGGTGGATGGAGCGAGACATGATGTCCCAGATGTGCTCAATTGGATTCAGGTCTGGGGAACGGGCGGGCCAGTCCATAGCATCAATGCCTTCCTCTTGCAGGAACTGCTGACACACTCCAGCCACATGAGGTCTAGCATTGTCATGCATTAGGAGGAACCCAGGGCCAACCGCACCAGCATATGGTCTCACAAGGGGTCTGAGGATCTCATCTCGGTACCTAATGGCAGTCAGGCTACCTCTGGCGAGCACATGGAGGGCTGTGCGGCCCCCCAAAGAAATGCCACCCCACACCATGACTGACCCACCGCCAAACCGGTCATGCTGGAGGATGTTGCAGGCAGCAGAACGTTCTCCACCGCGTCTCCAGACTCTGTCACGTCTGTCACGTGCTCAGTGTGAACCTACTTTCATCTATGAAGAGCACAGGGCGCCAGTGGCGAATTTGTCAATCTTGATGTTCTCTGGCAAATGCCAAACGTCCTGCACGGTGTTGGGCTGTAAGCACAACCCCCACCTGTGGACGTCGGGCCCTCATACCACCCTCATGGAGTCTGTTTCTGACCGTTTCAGCAGACACATGCACATTTGTGGCCTGCTGGAGGTCATTTTGCAGGGCTCTGGCAGTGCTCCTCCTGCTCCTCCTTGCACAAAGGCGGAGGTAGCAGTCCTGCTGCTGGGTTGTTGCCCTCCTACGGCCTCCTCCACGTCTCCTGATGTACTGGCCTGTCTCCTGGTAGCGCCACCATGCTCTGGACACTACGCTGACAGACACAGCAAACCTTCTTGCCACAGCTCGCATTGATGTGCCATCCTGGATGAGCTGCACTACCTGAGCCACTTGTGTGGGTTGTAGACTCCGTCTCATGCTACCACTAGAGTGAAAGCACCGCCAGCATTCAAAAGTGACCAAAACATCAGCCAGGAAGCATAGGAACTGAGAAGTGGTCTGTGGTCACCAACTGCAAAACCAGTCCTTTATTGGGGGTGTCTTGCTAATTGCCTATAATTTCCACCTGTTGTCTATTCCATTTGCACAACAGCATGTGAAATGTATTGTCAATCAGTGTTGCTTCCTAAGTGGACAGTTTGATTTCACAGAAGTGTGATTGACTTGGAGTTACATTGTGTTGTTTAAGTGTTCCCTTTATTTTTTTGAGCAGTGTATTTCAAGTGCTTTTAAAACCATGAAGGCACTGAAATACAGCCTCCCAAGGCCGCAGTAACAAAACAAAAAAAGAGAAAACCTGGCCAATGCTGTGGTGTATCTTATTGGCAACAATCCACAGGGTTGCCTTTCAGAAACTAAAATACTCTGCCACTGAATGCACAATAAATGTCTTCCTGTCCTTTAACAAATGAATGAATGTGAGAAAATGAGAGAAAGAAAAAAATGCTAACAGATACCTCAACCCCAGAGAATGTTATAGAGATTGCACCAAACACACTGTGGCCACAAACCACCTGCCTGGACAAGTAAGTTCAGCTGTCAACACACCAAAAGCACAATAATGCTAAAAAGCCTATTAGTGTTCAGCCGGTTAAAGAAGAAAAAAATGCCTGAACATGGAAACACTGAATTTAGCCCGACCAAATTACAGAATTCAGCAAATGGATTATACTTCTCTGTCTCTCTCCATTCTCATTCTGTCAGGGTTAAGGCCTGACCATGGAACCAATTCCTTTAGCTTCCATTCTCATTCTAGGGAAACAATGTAGTGCCACTGTGACAAGGGATAAAAGGCTGTTAGGGCCATGTTGTTGTGTTGCTTGCTTTCCTGTTGACCTTGGCATTCCCCAGTCATTCTCCCTCAGCTCTCAGGACCAGCCAGAGTGGGTGATGTGATGGGATGTCTTTGACTTTGCTCTTGACCCAGGGACT